GTGTGCACTTGTTTTCAACTCCTGGTGGGTTCCATAACCTGAGATTCCACTCACGTCATGGGGACTGGTTTTACGTGGTGGGGCCCGAACACCGGACCCCACTGGTCCAAGCTTAATAATCAATGGGTAATGCTTTTCTAACGGTCCTTATGCAGTCTCTGTAAAAATATGGAAAGGACCCCTGGAGGTTTACTTTCCTGAAAAAAGTGTGTTATGTGTCGGAACCCTGGTGGTGGGTTGCGGAATATCCAGGAGGGGCACACTGGGGCAATTTCAGTCCAGCAGGCTGGAGCCAATCATGGAGCAGCACAACAGAGGCTGGAGCCAATCATGGAGCAGCACAACAGAGGCTGGAGCCAATCATGGAGCAGCACAACAGAGGCTGGAGCCAATCATGGAGCAGCACAAAAGAGGCTGGAGCCAATCATGGAGCAGCACAACAGAGGCTGGAGCCAATCATGGAGCAGCACAACAGAGGAAATCAGGTGTCAGGCTAGAAAAGGTGCAAGTGTGTGGTTCATTAGGCTGCAGCCAATCACAGAGCAGCACACTGAAGCGCACGCTTACAAACCACTGGTAAGTGCTGACTACAAGTCATGACTTCAAATTGTTATATAGAATTATTACAAATTATTTTTTGTTTGTGCAGCTTAGTCAAGAGTCCCTAATTGATGAAGTCGACTCAGATTCTGACGATTTAACTGTCAAGAAGAAACCTGTAAAAAAGTATGGAAAAAGAAAAATCAAAAACACTTTTCTTCAAGACTCGGAAAGTGACGAACCAAAGGCAAATAAGATTGTTATCATGCAGCTGCAAAAGAAGAAAAATGGGGGGCAGGGTTTACAGCAAGAGACACTTCTGCCTCTACTGTTCAATGTCCTGCCACAAAATGTCCCGTCATTTGACTAGAAAACATGGAAATGAAAGTGACGTAGCCAGAGCATTGGCTCTACCTGTGAAATCTAAAGCACGTAAACTTCACTTTGATTTGATCAGGAATAGTGGAAACCGTGAGCACAATTTTGAGGTTTTAAAGGCCGGCATTGGAACTTTAGTCCCAGCTAAACAGCCAAATTGCCCAGTTAAATCCAGTGAGTTTTTGCACTGTATAGACTGTGGGGCATTGCTTAAGCGAAAGTCGCTGTGGAGGCATGTGGCCAGGTGCCGGCTTTCACAGAAAGATGCCCAGGCTAAACCAGGCTAAACCAGGTAGAAGTAGGGTCCAGTCCCTCTGCTCCCTAGCCCAGCCTGTACCGGAGGGCATCAGCAAAAAGCTGTGGTCTTTAATTTCGGCAATGCATCAGGATGAGGTCACGGGTGTTGTCAAAGCAGAAAAGGGGATTCTGAGACTCGGAGAGCACCTGTACTTAAAACATGGGCATGATAAGACTAAGCATGATTACATTAGGCAGAAAATGAGAGAAGTCGGTAGGTTAATTAACGAAGCAAAAACCGCAGGGAAACTGAAAACAATGAAGGATTTCTTTATTCCTTCCAACTTTAACCATGTGATTGATGCAGTCAGGTCTGTGGCTGGATATGATGAGGAAACAAATCAATACAAGACTCCATCCTTGGCCCTCAAACTCGGCCATAGCCTCAGAAAGCTAGCAGATATTCTTGAATGTGACTCAAAAATGGAGCATTGTGTTGATGAACTATTTATTAAAAACCTCCAACGAAGCCGGCTGCTTTTTGAGAAGAGGTGGGACGTCTGTGTTTCTTCTGCTGCCCTACAGACCCTCCGGCAAGCCAAGTGGAACACTCCGGACCTGCTCCCTCTGACTGAGGACGTTAGAGCCATGCATGCACATATTGAGGTATGTCGACCTGAATATGTGCAAACCCTAATAAGTGAGCCAACGTCTAAGCATTGGTCTAAACTGGCAGTTTTGACTCTTTGTGAGGTCATCATTTTCAATCGAAGAAGGGAAGGTGAGGTTTCAAAGATGCCACTGACAGCCTTTACCTTAAGAAGTAAGACTGGGATCCATTCTGACATTGCTCTGGGACTGTCCCAACTTGAGAAAAAGCTGTGTCAGCATTTTCAACGCATTGAAATTAAAGGGAAAAGAAGTCGGAAAGTGCCGGTTCTTTTGACTCCTGAAATGATTGCTTGGATGGAGGTGCTGGTGGAGAACAGAAGGGCCTGTTCCATCTCTGACCATAACCCATACTTCTTTTCCCGCCCGGGCGCAGACACCCACATCAGGGGATCAGACTCCCTACGGCAGGTAGCCAAAGAATGTGGTGCGGTGCATCCAGAGATTCTATCCTCAACCAAACTTAGAAAGCACATAGCTACTATGTCTACAGTTCTCAATATGAAAGAGAATGAGATGGACATACTTGCCAACTTCCTCGGCCATGACATTCGCATCCACAGACAATATTACAGACTACCAGAGGGGACACTGGAGCTGGCCAAAATCAGCAAAGTGTTGATGGCCATGGAGCAGGGAAGAGTGACGGAATTCGAAGGAAAGAGCCTCGACCAGATACAAATTGAGCCTGAAGGTAATTCTTGATATTATTAAAATATGTATGATTTTTTTCCCCTAAAGGCCACTTGTATTTTTATTTTCTGTGCGACAGGGAGAGCAGTAGAGATCCTCTCACAAACGGACGGGCTAAAAGAAACTTCAAGCGGAGAACCTTCAACCATTCATCCAGATGCACCCCATGGTAGTGGCAGTGCCCCTTCTGGTAAGTGTACCAGGTGGGGGATTACAGCCAGGCTGCTTGGTCCTAACCCTGGGAGTGTATATTGCTAATATATTTTTATTTCTCTCCCTAGAACGTGTAAGAAAGCCATGGTCTGCATCTGAGGTGAAGGCTGTGGAGAAGACCATGACACCTTTCATACAGACTGGAAAGGTCCCTGGGAAGTCTCACTGCCTGGCCTGCATTAATGCCTCACCAGATGACCTTAGACATCGGACATGGAGTGGCATTAAATTCTATGTCAAAAATAGAATCACTGCAATTCGAAAAAAAAATCTAAAATAAAATTCCTTTAAAAGAGTTGTTTGTTTTCTATTGACTGTTTTGTATTACTTAAAGTAGTCCCAGTAAAAAAAGATTATGTCTATGGGTCCCATTCTGAACGGCCCTGTCAAAGGGACCCACCAGGTAACAAAAACGTGTGTGTGTGTGTGTGTGTGTTTCTGTGTGTGTGTGTGTGTTTGCTCTTATTCATTGGGTTTGTCATAAGACCTTTTATCAATCATTCAACATTTCTACAGCTCAGTTCATACAGAATGTAACCCAAAGTGCTTCACATCGACAACATTTAAAACCAAATAAATTAAGATTAAGAAATATTTACTTTGTCCGTCCCACTGTGGGGAAATGTCAGTGTTGCATCACCAGTTACAGGAATGAGGAGCACATGATACATGGACAATAACTCTAAACTAAAATAAAATAACACCAAACTTTTGCATACAATTACTACTACTACTGCTACTGCTACTACTACTACCACTATGTTACTACTACTACTATGTTACCACTACTACTACTACTACTATGTTACTACTACTACTACTACTACTACTATGTTACCACTACTACTACTACTATGTTACTACTACTACTATGTTACTACTACTACTACCACTATGTTACTACTACTACTACTACTACTACCACTATGTTACTACTACTACTACTACTACTACCACTATGTTACTACTACTACTACTACTACTACTACTATGTTACTACTACCACTATGTTACTACTACTACTACTACTACTACTACTACTATGTTACTACTACTACTATGTTACTACTACTACTACTATGTTACTGCTACTACTACTACTACTACTACTACTACTACTATGTTACTACTACTACTACTACTACTACTATGTTACTACTACTACTACTACTATGTTACTACTACTACTACTACTACTACCACTATGTTACTACTACTACTATGTTACTACTACTACTACTATGTTACTACTACTACTACTACTACTACCACTATGTTACTACTACTACTACTACTACCACTATGTTACTACTACTACTACTACTACTACTATGTTACTACTACTACTACTACTACTATGTTACTACTACTACTACTACTACTATGTTACTACTACTACTACTACTACCACTATGTTACTACTACTACTACTACTACTATGTTACTACTACTACTACTACTACTACTACTATGTTACTACTACTACTACTACTACTACCACTATGTTACTACTACTACTATGTTACTACTACTACTACTACTACTATGTTACTACTACTACTACTACTATGTTACTACTACTACTACTACTACTACTACTATGTTACTACTACTACTACTACTACTACTATGTTACTACTACTACTATGTTACTTCTACTACTACTACTACTACTATGTTACTACTACTACTACTACTACTACTACTATGTTACTACTACTACTATGTTACTACTACTACTATGTTACTACTACTACTACTACTACTACTACTATGTTACTACTACTACTATGTTACTACTACTACTACTACTACTACTACTATGTTACTACTACTACTACCACTACTACCACTATGTTACTACTACTACTACTACTATGTTACTACTACTACTACTACTATGTTACTTCTACTACTACTACTACTACTATGTTACTACTACTACTACTATGTTACTACTACTACTACTACTACTACTACTACCACTATGTTACTACTACTACTATGTTACTACTACTACTACTACTACTACTACTACTACTACTATGTTACTACTACTACTACTACTACCACTATGTTACTACTACCACTATGTTACTACTACTACCACTACTACCACTATGTTACTACTACTACTAGTCCAGTCCAGTGTATTCATAGAGCACTAATAAAAACAAGGTCGACCAAATTGCTGTACATTAAAAAGACATATAAAAAATGTACAATTATAAACTACAAAGCAGTGGCAAAAACACAGTATTTACAGCAAACAATCAACAATGCAAAATCAATTAAAAGCCAAAGAACAAGTGAGTTTTAAGACACGACTTAAAAACAGGAAGTGAATCAGACAGTCTAACACACAGGACCAACAACCGAAAACGTTTGATCTCCTCTGGTTTACTACTACCACTAAATGTGCTATATAATTAAATATGATGTACTTACTTACTTACAATATCCTTGAATCCTGTGACATCTCTGCGGATCGTGTGGCCCTTCCCTACAGTCAACAATCCACAGAAATCCATCTCGACCGCAGAAAGCTAATAGCGCAGATTAGCGGTGCCATTAACTAAAAGAATAGAGGAAAAACCATGTTTGTTTAAAGCTTCCACATTGTTGTTTTTGTGCTCGCTCCACTTCCATCCTGTGCCGGTGGCTAAAGCCGACACTTTGTACAGCAGAGGGCCACTTCTGCGGGCCCCAGCGAGCGTCTGGGGAGCCCATCTTTTCCGCTGCCTGTAGTCCCCTTCTGGTTTGCGGGCACTTGGAGGGTGTTTATCTAGAAAAGAATAACAACTTGTTTTATTCATGTTGGGTTGTAGGAGACACGCCGGCCTCCTGAGGAAAGAGGGTTGATGGGTATTAGCAGAAGAGGGATAGTCACTTGTTATTGCTGGAGCCTTAAAGCACAGGCGTACAGTGCACTTGGCAG